AGTCTGCTTCTCCCTTGGACCCCTCCCCCTTCTCATTCTCTCTCTCTCATTCTCTCTCTCAAATAAATAAATAAAATCTTTAAAAAAAAAAAAAAAAGAAAGAAAATAGAGCTACCCTACGACCCAGCAACTGCACTACTGGGTATTTACCCCAAAGATACAAATGTAGTGATCCGAAGGGGCACCTGCACCCCAATATTTACAGCAGCAATGTCCACAATAGCCAAACTATGGAAAGAGCCTAGATGTCATTCAACAGATGAATGGATAAAGAAGATGTGGTATATATATACAATGGAATATTATACAGCCATCAAAAAATGAAATCTTGCCATTTGCATCAACGTGGATGCAACCAGAGGGTATTATGCTAAGCGAAATAGGTCAATCAGAAAACGATAAGTATCATATGATCTCACTGATATGAAGAATTTGAGAAAGACGACAGAGGATCATAGGGCGAGGGAAGGAAAAATGAAACAAGAGGAAACCAGAGAGGGAGACAAACCATAAGAGACTCTTAATCTCAGGAAACAAATTGAGGGTTGCTGGAGTGGAGGGGGGTGGGAGTGATGGGGTGGCTGGGTGATGGACATTGGGGAGGGTATGTACTATGGTGAGCACTGTGAATTGTGTAAGACTGATGATTCACAAAGTTGTACCGCCGAAACAAGTACTACATTACATGTTAATAAAAAAATTTTTTAAAAATAAAATTAAATAAATAAAATAAAACAAAACATTATTGTGGGCATACTCACTCTTTAGATTCCTGAGTCCTTTTAGTAACATGCTGTACAACTGTGTCATAGCCAAATTCCTCATCCTGATTCTGATCAGATGTCCATTTTCCCATTTCTTCTTCAATCATAGACCCCAAAGTGTTACATATATGCTGCCGAAGATATTTCACAAATTCATAGCTAAAACAAATATTTAAAAAATAAATCAGTAAATATCATGAACTCACTTATTAAACATATCCAGGAAAAAAATGTTAGCACAGAATGTTTTATACAATACTCATATTTACCTTACACTAGCATTAAATTCTTCATCCCAAATCACCAAGCTAATCTAGAATTTTTTTTTTTTCTGGGACATTGGCATTTTCTGCTTGCATTCCATGCCCACTCACTCCATCACTCCACCCAGTCATCAACACTTGTTAATATTGCCTACACATCCTTTGGCTTCATCATTTCTCCTTTTTTCCCACTTCTATTGGTCAGTGCAAATCCAAATCACCTCACACAGAGATTACTACTGCAGCCTTCTTGCTCATCTTCTTTCACCTCCCCTTCCCTCTCATATTTATCCTGAACACTAGTTATCTTGGTCCTCAAAACTCACAGATTTCATTATTTCTGAGTTAGAGCCATTTTATTCATATCAATACCTCACACCACATCACATACTTATGTATGTGTGTCTCAATAAATATTTGTTGTATTTAAAACTAATTATTGGCTGTCTATTATCCTTCAAATACAATTTCCTTGGCTTAGCATTTAAATACCTAATCAATCAAGCCCCTTAATTACTGCATCTCCACTTACGAGGCCACGCTTAATTTTCTCCACAAACACCAAACATTTTGACTTGCATATAAGAAAGGAGGGATTTTTACGTGATTATCATGTATTAGACATTGCTCTAAGTATTTTATTAATATTGTTTTATTTACCACATAAAATAGGTAAAATAGATGAGGACACAAATTGAAAAGTTAAAAAGCCTTGTCAAATTCACAAGCTACAAGGGTGTCTGTGGCTCAACCGGTTAAGCGGCCAGCTCTTGATTTCTGCTCAGGTCATGATTTCAGGGTCCTGGGATCAAGGGAAGCATCAGGCTCCATGCTCAGCAGGGAGTCTGCTGGAGGACTCTTTCTCTCTCTCCCTCTGCCCCTCCCCCAGCTCCTATGCACACACACACACTCTCTCTCTCAAATAAATAAACCTTTAAAAAAAATTCACAAGCTACTAATTCAGTTCCACCTTAATCCAAAACTCTTGTCATTCCCACAATCCCACACTCTCCCAAAAATGGAAAAATTTCAAAAATGTTTAAGAAATAAAATAAGATGTTCTATAGTGCTCAGTGGAGATTGGAAAGGGAAATAAGTAAATGTAACGCTCATGTTTTTACCAACTGTATATTATTTAAATTTCTTGCATTTAGGGAGATAAATTTATTACATTTTATTTTCTCAAAATTATAATTCACATGTTAAATTTAAAAGTATAATTTACTTAAAATTTATTTTGTTATTTATTGAATTTACTTTTAAATGTTTAATATTTAAATTCAATGTTTAGCTAGTAACTTCTAAGCTTTAAGAAAATAGGTATCTATTAATGGCAGAAGAGGAAAACATTATTTTGTAAACTTAGTGACCTGCAATATTAGATCAAAATGATGAACACTGATTTTCAGAAATACTCCAAGAAAAACAAAACCCAAAACTTATTGTATCATATATCATAGAAAATAGCCTCTAATCATGATTTAAGCAGTTTTGCAGTTTTTGCTTCTTCTGGTGATTCATCATTGCCTTATATTACTTGAAGATCTTCCCTTATACAAGCATAACTTACCATCCATTTTAAATGTTAAACTTATTTTTTAGTTTGTATATTTGTAATTATAAACCAAATCTTTGCATATTCTATACAAAATGGGGAAAACTTACAAAAAGGAAAGAAGAACTCAGAGATTAAGGTTTCAAGAGAATCTTTTAAAGATGCTATTTTTTTTTTACAGTAAGTCCTTTTTTTAATTTTATTATGTTAATCACCATACCTTACATCATTAGTTTTTGATGTAGTGTTCCATGGTTCATTCTTTGCGTATAACACCCAGTGCTCCATTCAATATGTGCCCTCTAAAGATGCTAATTTTTTAACATTTGACAGTCCCTATAATGCCTCCACAGACGGACAGCTAGCTCTGAGATTAGAGTTGGCAGATGTGTGTGATAAGATCTGAAGAGCCCAAAAAATATGTGTCCACCACAACCATCCGACCACAACCAGAAACCCTCTAAAGGATCAGAATATCTGAAATTCTAAGACCAAAAATTTATCATTGCTTTCTTTAAAATGTCCTTGTAAATAAAAAAGGATCCAGGAATAGATAATCCTTTCAGCCTAATCAGTATGACCTCACAGCCAGACTCTTAGTACTGGGAAAAGGAAAAGTGTAATTGGAAGAAAGTGCAAAGAGATGAAAGGTCCCTAAAAACAATCTTGATCTTCCTCACAATCTTGCCCTAGGCTAGTCAAACAAACACAGGAGTTTTCCTTCACATCTCTGAGATACTCGGTGGGAAATAAAACATGGGGAAGCCTGAGTTAATTCTCTGAAACTAAAGGAAGGGCCACTCTGAAGATGAATTCTACATCTCATCATCAACGTCTACTATGCAAAGGCAAATGATTCCTTAGTTTGATCAGCCCCGTCTCTGTGCCACAAATTAAGCAATCACAAGAAATGAATATTTAACTGAGAAATATAACTTTTGTGTTTGCTTTGTTTAAAGCCCAAACTATAAGCAACAGAAATGACATTTTCATAACTAAGGCAGTGAAGAAATATAAAACAAGCCCATTAACAAAATGTATTCAAAAAGTTGAGAGAAGGGGCACCTGGGTGTGCCTCAGTTAAGCGTCTGCCTTCGGCTCAGGTCATGATCTCAGGGTCCTGGGATTTGCCCCATGTTGGGCTCCCTGCTTAGCCCGGAGTCTGCTTCTCCCTCTGCCTCTCCCTCTCCCCCCTGCTCATGCTCTGTCTCTGTCTCTCTCTCTCAAATAAATAAAAATCTTAAAAAAAAAAAAAGTTAAGAGAATACCATTCTAAAATAAAAGACACATCAAAAAAACAAAAACAAAAACTAAAAACCTCCCCACTATTTAGCATCATCTATAAATAGCAAATAGCAAATATGCTGAGAAAAAGTTTAAACCTCCTCTTTGGGAACTTGAATAACCACATACTTTTTTCTAGTGACATCATTTTTATCTATGACCATAGTACTATGTCCCAGAAGACACCATTCAAAATACTTCAAGGTTTTGGTTCATCTTCCAAATTAAATGAACCCAAGAACCCCAAAATTGAATATTGCCTAATGGGTTACTGCTCTTTTAAGAGAAAAGATCTCCAGGGAGGATAAGGCCCTCTGTCATGTGAGGACTACCAGGCTGCCTATGGCCCTTTGGATGTTCTACTGACTCACTGATCATTGGAAGATTCAAATTAGTAAACAGTCATTTCTGCAATTGGACCCTTCTCCTCTTTGGGTAAGAAAAATCCAAGGCTTCAAATTCTCATCTGACAATTCATTTTGTGTTGGTTCTTTTACCATATGAATTCACGACAATGTCCCATAAAATCCTACAAGGAATGCTGTTTTCTATAGTGGTGCCCAGGATCGAAAATTATTGTTGCTATGGGCTGGGAGAAACATGTCTATAAAATTAAGTACTGTGTTGCCTTCATTGTAATCCTCATAGTATTGGTGCCATCGAGTTGCTCTTATGAAGTCTACAACTAATCCAAAAGATTAATGATAACCACAGCTCTTTACATCAACCCATTGTACCATTTTTAGAAATTATTCTGGAGGTGTTGCAATATTCTTATTTTTTATAAAAGCAAAAGCCCTGGATGCACAAAAGAGACTTTTAAAAGGTCCCATACTTATTCTGGAATTGCAAACTCAGATGTTACCTGGGGTAGACAGGTAAAGTCGGCCATGTGTAAGAGAGAAAAGAGGCAGGGGTAAAATAAAAGGACATGTCTCAGGTAAAAGGAAGAGCTTCTACATGGCTTTAGCCACTTGTTGCCATTTAGGAATATTAGCTTAATGTTGATTTTTCAATGTTTTAAGAAAAGCCAGAAAACTATTTTATGTGCCACCTCCCAATTTTTAAATGTTGCCTTTTGTTTTTAAACAAAGCCAAAGAAATACATCCACAGACCAAATATGGCCTGCAGAATTCCAGTTTGACCATTAACATCCACTCACTCGAAGCATTATAAAACCCTGACCACTAAAGATACTGGTGATTCACCTCTATGTTTAAAATTTCTATTTAAGAAATGTAAAACTTCCTTCAAAAAAATGTACATTCTTAATAACTTATTTTAGAAGATCCTTATAAGGCTTAATTTAAGTCAATTCTGCTACAATTTAGGTCCTTTCCTTTCACATTTATTTTTAGCAGACTCCTCTGTGTTAACATTTTCAGATTAACATACTCTAATTGCACTGGAGATATAAGGAATAATACAGCTTTGCCATGGACTACAATAAATACAACTTCCATTTATTTGTAAGTCTATTAATATTTCTTTCTTGTTCATCTTAAAATTTTCTAGTAATGAAGTTTCTTATTTTTTAAAGAACATGATATACACAATGAATAAATGTTATACCATTAGAAATCTATGAATCCCTTTGCTTCAGGTTTAAGTTCTAAATTTTACACTGGTTAATCCTGTAACCTTAGACAAAACACCTGACCTTGCGAAATTTCAGGTTCCTGCCACATAACAAGAATGGTAATCCTAATGCAAAAACCATTATTACACATAGCTATACTTTGACACTTTTCAAACCAAATATACTACACATATATTTGACTAACCTTATTTGTTACCTTAAAAGTAATTTAATGAGAAAAAAATAAAAATTTGGTTTCAAAGACACTATTACCAAATGAATGCAAAATATCTTTTTCCAAATATTTCTCAAAGAAGGACATTAAAAGCCAAAAGTACAGTTGTTTGCTACTAAGGAAAAATGTGTTCACCTCACATTTCAGAAGCAGCTCAATTGAAATACACAGCAATGTGCTTCATCATTTTGCTTTACTACTGATGAATATGAAATTTTTCACGTTTACACAGGAAAACTTTACAAAGTTGGCTAAAAGAACATTCACTTTTTTCAATTTTTTTCTCCAGTTTTATTACCTAGATTTTTCCAAGAAAGTCAATTATTTCTTTCATGATAAAATTCTGAACTGTTCAAAACATACCAAAATATGCACTGATACACAGAGTACTATTACAACAGAAAAACAAAAAAAAACTAGTATAATTTTGTTTCAAGAAATCATTCTCTCAGCTATTTAAATAAGCAAAAAAATTTTCAATCATATATAGAAAAAATTACCAGCAATGACATGTTTTAAAAAGAGACTTTATTAGAGTGAGTTATGAATTATAATGCTATTTGGAATTCCTATTTCAGAATCAAAAGATTTATTATATGACCAACCTAACTTTATATATCATATTAGTATATAAAAGGATATGTAATAGAAGGAACGAGTATTTTACATCACCTACAACCTTTTAGGTCAAAGAATAGGCTTCTGAGTCATGATAAACAATTACTAGAAATGCATTCATTAATTATGGAAGCACACATATAATTCTTAGTAATTTCACTATACATGGATATCACTTTACACAATGGATGCTTTCTTGAAGTTACCACTTAAACACCCTAGAGTTCACTAATTTAAAAAATCACTGGTAGGGGTGCCTGGGTGGCTCAGTTGTTAAGCGTCTGCCTTCGGCTCAGGTCATGATCCCAGGGTCCTGGAATGGAGCCCCGCACCGGGCTCCCTGCTTTGTGGGAAGCCTGCTTCTCCCTCTCCCACTCCCCCTGCTTGTGTTCCCTCTCTCGCTGTGTCTCTCTCTGTCAAATAAACAAAATCTTTAATAAATAAATAAATAAATAATCAATCACTGGTAGATTCTTCTGTAACACAAAAACTAAAATCAATGAACTGTATCAGACCCGAAGTATATTGGATGTGACGGCTACAAAGATGAGCATCTGCATTAGAGACTTTTATAATCATCAGGGTTGATAACTACTAAAATAAACACACACACACACACACACACACGCACACAATTCTTGCATAAATGCAAATAAATATGCTCTAACTCTGTGGTTCTCAACTCTCAACCGGGGCTGCATGTTAGAATCACCTAGAGAGCTTTTTCAAAAACAAGGCCAAGCCCCTACCATTCCCCCACTGCCAAGCCCTTCCCCCCACCCCGAAATTCTGATGTGTTTATGAAGAGGCCCAAGCATCAGTATTTTTTTTACAGGGGGCCCAACTGATTCTGGTGTAGCCAAGACTGAAAACCAGGGCCAGTTTGTTTCCTGGGGGCCAGTTTAAGTGTCAAAAGCTACACAACACATACACACATAATGAAAGCAATGTCCTCATCCCTACCTCTCTCCCCTCCCACAGGCCTCAAATCCTTGTTGCCACTTTCAGAGACAAAGGGGAAAGCTTGGATCTTTTAGAAAATATGTGTAGTTTTCGGCAGAAAAATAAAAGAGGTTCTGGAAAGCAGAGATAGTTTAGGAAAACTGCCCATTAGGGCAAACCCCCCAAAAAGGGCTACTATTGCCTACACTATGGTTTCTCCCCAAATGACTGTATTTTCCCCCACTTTAGTTTATCATACTACCTGAAATCCATCATGTATGGACTCATTTGTCCTAACCATCTTCTTACAAAGACACAACAGTCTAAAGACACCAGTTTCCCCTATAAGTCTGTTTAATAAAATTGTTCTTGCCAAGACCAGGACAACATTGGGTGGATTTAAGAAACCAATGTCCTAATAATGGAGATGGGAAGATAGATAATTCTGAAGTAGGAAACATTTCAGGAAGCAATATATACCTAAGTGACTCCAGAACATATCATGTTCGAGGAGAGTTAGGTCAGTGAAAACAAAGACAAAATATGAGCAGCTGGACTAACTGACCTTTACTATCACATCCAACTCTGAATTGTAAGATTCTATGAAAACACCGAAGACAAGCCATCTCCTCCCCTTTTCCTCTCCTACACAGAGTTCCTTCCTCCTAAGACACAGGTCTCAGGTTAGTGAATTAACACGTAAATTTTACCATCTATGCTTTTAAGACTACAAACTAATTAAAATACCTTAAGGACTATAAATCTTAAAGACTACAAACTAGTTATAATTTGAGAGTGTCTGGATTTCTTTAGGTAGGCCAAAAGTAAATCTCCTCAGTAAACAGTGAACATTAACTATGAATGTTAATCAGCATGCATTTAATCTAATGCACTGTTGAAGAGTAAGTTACTTTATTATAAGAGTAATTAGACTGCTGAGAGGAACATCAATGACCTAACTTTAATTCGAAAAGCATTTTAAAATTGGAGCAGCTGAAACAATACAGGCAAATATGTACCCTTAAACACTTACACTAAAAAGAAGAAGAAAAGCTGCAAATTAATGAGCTAACCACTGATCACAAAAGTTTTAAAAATTTTCCAAGAAGAAAGAAAATAAAGAACAGAATGTAAAAACCATAAAATATACACATAATAGAAAGGAAAAACTAAGCCAATAGCTGATTCTTTTAAAAGACTAACAAAATAAACCCCTAGCAGAACAGAAGAGGGAAGGCACAAAAAAAATAAATAAATAAAATAAAAAGGGGGACATATAACTACAGATACTAAAAATATTAAAAAGTTAACAGGATATTAATGAAAAACTTTATAGTGATAAATTTGAAAATCTAGATGAAATGTACAAATGTCCAGAATACGATCCTAGGAAAAACTGACAGTAATTTACAAATTATTTAAACAACTGCTTGCATGTGAAATAAAACCCCAAACTTAAATGTTTAAGAGGATCTGTGTGAGGTAAATTTGTATTACATGAGTTTACAAAACACTATTTAATTAAACTTTAATTTGAGAAAGTTGCAATTATTCTACAATCTACTTAGCTATTAGCAATGGATTTAATGAAGAAATAAACAAGAAAATCACAGAAATACAAAAAAACTATATGTATAACCAGAAATATTAATGAAATTAGTAACTTTATATTAACAAGAATTCCACACTTTTGAAAACTCCCTTGAGAATCTGGTGAAAACTGTAAATACTCCTATAAAACTGCAAGTAAAAACAAACTTTTACATTAAAGGGCTCAAGGATCCCTTTATGCCCATGTAAGAAATGGGTGGAGTTCCAGATAAATACAATTTCAGGGCACCCACGAGTCAGTTTAAAGGTAACATAAGATAAATTTTCATCTCTGTGAGATCAAAATGAAATACAAACACTGAAATTAAAATACTGCTACCAATAACAGTTAATTGAGATACCTGCAAGAAGACTTTTCAATGCAAAAGATTAATTTAAATTAAATGAACCAAAACAAAGAAAAAAAGTCTCTAAAGAAACATAACCTTCCAGAATAATCTCAAATGGTACCTCTCTCGTTAAAAACTCCTCTGTCTACTGCTCCCAAGTCCAGAGTACTCTAGCCCTTCTACAGCACTTATATTTCTGCTATGTATCACAGGCATTGGAGTATGTGGCTTATCCCTTCATAAGAACTTAAGCTATTCCATAGGACGTTAATAATTTCACTTCAGTATTCTTGCAGTGCTCAGAACGAGCAACTGGTGCAGCCACTGAAATACCACATAGCAAAGACCAGAGACCTTGGAAACTCACTGCTTTCAGGCATGGTGACAGGAATCCCCTGAAATAACAGAACTGCTCTTAGAAGAACATGAACAATTTACAATTATTGTTACTGTGCTGCCCATGAGGAAAAATGAAGAATTAGAATATGTTGGTTGTGGCAGTAGAAACACAGAGGAGACAGAAGCTTTGGAAAGTAAATAAATAATACATAAATTCGGCATTTGTGTAAATAAACACCCCAAAAATGAACCTCCAACTTGGGTGTTACTTTAACAATAATCAAAAGAACATTTTTTCTCTAACTACACTTGGACCTTTTCTGGATCGGCTAGTTTGTTTAAGACATCAAAAGCTATTTTACTTGTGAAAATTTTCATCAGTTTCCTCCAGATGTAAGAGGATTTCCTCGGCGCACTCCAGAGAGGGAGCACCCGTGATCTTCTCCTTCACGCTCTGGAACAACTGCCTCAGCATCGCCTGCAGCATCACCTCGTCCTCGCCTGAGAAATGGGCCATCCTCTGCAAGAATCAAACGCCCACGCCCATTACTCCAGGTCGGCGCAAACGCCGCGCATTGCGCACGCGCGCCCCCACCCAGCCCCGGCCTGCGCGCTACGCCGTTCCCTGGGAGACCGCGGCAAGCGATTGGGGGTGGATCCTTGGCTACCCGCGCGTTTTTCTGGGAAACAAGTCACCTTACTTTGGGGAAGCAGGGGTCCGTAAGGACCCGCCTTTGGTCCTCGTCGTTGCCGGCCTTCCGTACGAACAGAGTTCAAGTTGTCCCCGCTAACCGCAAAAATAGAGATCCCGGAAGGTTTTGACGGGTGGGCCTGACGGCGGGACGTCTGCGGTGCGCGTGACGTCAGCACGTTGACGGGCTTCCTAGGTGAGAGGGAGTGGCACTGGGGACCTGCCTGGCTCCTAAAGGAAGTTTCCGGTTCGCTCGCTGTGCTTAGCCCTGGACTTGTAGATGGTAGGGAACCGAGTACGAAGAGAGTTGAGTAAAAGTGAAACTGAAAATAGATTGAAACGTTTTAACTACGTGAATGGTATTGAAATGTTACAATGCGGTTTTTCCTTAACAGCCAACATCTATTGATGCCTTCCCCTTACCAAGCACCTTGCTAGGAACTGTGAAGAAGACGGCCCTCATAATCAGACACAAAAAGAAATCAACTTTTACACCACAGTGCAATTAAGTGTTATGTTAGAGAAACGCACCAGGTAGGTGTTGTGGAAATCCAGAATCCCCTTTTAACCCGATAGAAGGGTCAAGAAAAGAAGCGAAGAGAGAGGTGTACCATACTCCAGTACTCGAGTTAGTAGAGTTAGAAGGAGAAGATGGGGAGGCTAGAGAAGCAAATAGGCCACAACTGAAAGGGTCATATTTGGCACGTTTACGGGTTAGAGATTAATCTTGGAAGTAACAGGACACAATTGGATTCCAGAGTGACACCATGAGATACCGTATATGAGGAACCTGTGCAGGAAACTGCAGTGCATAATCATAGACCTTCATCCAGTTTCCAATCTAGATAAATCCCCAGACCATGGTTATGTCCAAGGTAAGGAGCCAACCTGTCAGAGTATTAGCATCAGATCCTGGTGTTTATGGAATAGTCCCAAGCCACTGATGAGTCACTCGTTTAATGTCAATTAAATTATCCAGCTTAAATTTTACACTTCTGGTCCAATAACATCTGATACACTTCACATGTTAAGCAGGATCAGTGATTTCCTTGATGTTTATGCTGTTACTTCCAAGATTAAAAGTATAATATGTCCTTGCCAACTGTGGCAGCATGTTTCTTGGTAAAATGTATGCTTAATCTACCAGAGTAGGCACACTTGTAATTTTATTTGTGGCTGAACCTATAAAACCCATTATATATATATGCGTGTGTGTGTGTGTGCGCATGCACAGAATCACCAGCAATGTGATAGCTACATATTTAGATTAACACAGATGAGTTGTATTGGCACCTCAAACATCAAGATTAACATAGCTAGTAGTGGTGTGATTTTTCTGAAATAGTAAGCTATTGTTAAAATTCAGAACAAAATAAAATAATACCCTTTTCTTGATTTACATAGTTTTGCATTCCTGGAAAATTTGGTGTGTTAGAACTGCCAAATACTTTTATATAAATGGAATTCATTCCTATACTCAAATACTTATCAAGAGCTTTTTCATCTACCTGAATGTCTGGCACGATCATTGAGAGTCATATAGGAACCAGAACAATTCTTTTGTGTGGGAAATTGTCTGTGTGTAATTCAAGATGTTTCATATCTCCAGCTCACACTACAAATGACAGTAACTGCCATCTAATCATTGTGATAGCAAACATGTCCCCACATATTTATAAAATGCTTTCTTGGGAAGCAGGGGTGATTTGAACTGCACAGATTGAGAACCACTGTTCTAAAGAATATAACTTAGGATAAAGAAAAACAACCATAATAGCATACCTGAGATACACAAATGGAAGATAGCCAAACAGCAAGTGAGGGTGATAATGCATTTAAGTAAATCTCAATAAATATTGTCTGTATAAAATAATAATAACCTATAATATTCTAATTTGTGAAGGTAAAAATGCATAGCACTAAAATACTGTAAACAATCATGTATGAGTAGGAAGTCATGATAGGTTGAAGTATTCTGCAATTCTTGTATTTTTCTACATGGAGTTTAAGATACTGAACTTGATTAGGTAGGCATGGTAAAATTTCAAATGTAACCATTACAAAATTAGAAACAAAGAATTTAAATTCAAAAAACAGAAGGAAAAATGAAATAAGGAGAGAAAAGCAAAAATCCCATTCAATTAAAAAAAAAGTCAAGAAGGAAAACTGAAGCGTAAGAAAAATAGGAAAAATTTAAAATATACAAAGACACATGATAGAAAAAGTCCAAAATACTGATAAATTTAAATAAACTCAGCCCTCCTCTTATAGGAACTGTCAGACTGACTATTAAAATAACCAACAATAGGGGTGCCTGGGTGTCCAACTCTTGGTTTGGGCTTAGGTCACGATCTCAGGGTTGTGGGACTGAGCAGCAGGCTCCCTGCTCAGTGGGGAGTCTGCTTGAGTTTCTCTCCCTCTGCCCCTTCTCCTACTTGTACTCTCTCTCAAATAAATAAATCTTAAAAAAAATAATAAAATAAGCAGCTATATTCTATTTATCAAAACCCTAAAAACAGAAAAATTAGGACTAAAAAGGTGGGGAAAGATAAACCAGATGAATATTATGCAAAAGAAAGCTGTTGAGACTATATTTGTGTCAGCAAAAATAAAACTTAAGGAAAAAATACATTAGGGACATAGCATGGCACTTGATAATTCAAAAGGAAGATAAAATTCTTAAAGTAAGTAAGCAAAATTCTTAATCTTCCAGAAGTCTTTAATATTTTCTAGAGAAGGTTTCTGCACATAAGATACACTTCAAAGTTGAATACCTAAGATCTATTTTTTAGGTTTGCTTTTTCAGATTGTAAGAAACAGAAAAAATTTTCTCAGCAAAGTTAGTGTTTATGAAGAACTGAAATATCGTTTATCATTGTTAAAGATACAAAAACCTCTCAAGATATCCCAAAACTGTTGTAGCAACCTAATTACCTTGTTGTCCATATTATAATAACCCTATCATTTTCATGATTCACTTTGTCTCTTTCTTTATCATCTCTGCTTCTACGGCTTCTGATCATCTTTTTTCTTTTTTTTTAATTTGTATTTCTTTTATTATGAGCAAAGTTGGTTATCTTTTCATATTTTAAGAGCCATTTAAAATCCTTATAAAAAGAATTCACATAAAGTGAACCTTTGCCAATTTTTCTTTTAGTTGTTAATCTTTTTCTTATTGTTTTTTTTATTATGTTATGTTAATCACCATACATTACATCATTAGTTTTTGATGTAGTGTTCCATGATTCATTGTTTGCGTATAACACCCAGT